TCCAGCTTTACCACTTCCGAGATGTAACCTTGGGCAAATGACGGGCACCCCGCAGGCCTGTTTCTTCACCCGTAAACTGAGGACAGTGTCAATAGGGCCACTTAGAGGTTTCAACGGACAGGAATCTCTTATGTGCAGTGCTGGGCGTACAGCAGGTGCGGCGGTGTATCCAGCTCCCTTGCGTTAGGGTGTATGACAAGGGCGTGGTGTTTGCTGGGCAGGCCTCACTTTGGGCACTGTTGGTGGACATCCCCTTTGGAAAGGGCTTTCCCACCATGAAGAAAATCCTCCTAAAATGCAGTCATCCTGCCCTGCCTGCTTAGCTCAGGTGGTTCGAGTGTCATCCCCATATGCCAAGGTTGTGGGTTCAATCCCCAGTCAGGGCACATACAAGAATCAACCAATGAATGCATCAATAAGTGAAACAACAAATCGATGTTTCTCTCTCTCTCGAATCAATAAAAAAATTTTTTTCAATGCAGGCATCCTCCAAGATCTTCCTGTTGGAGCCTCTTCTAAGCATCTTGCCAAGAGGGGCTTCCCCAGGCGTCAACACAAGGGAGCCCGCACTCCCTGCAAAATGACCCCTGCGGGAGGTGTGACCCGGGATTGCTCGCTCGCAACCTCAGGACTGCTCCTCTGCGGGCGAAACCAGGGTAAAAACAGTTCTGGGAACATTCTCCTAGGGCGCAGGGGAAATGAGTATCTGACGAGTTTTGGGAACACCCATATTCTGCGAGGGTGATGTGGGTGTTGTCTCCAGAAAGCATGAGTGGAATGTGATTGTAGCTAGCGAAGTGGAAGCCTGCAGGATTGCATCACCTTTTTCTTTCCATGGCCTCTAAACTCGGCCAACAGAACTCCCAGGGACCCCACTGGAAACACAGTGCTGGGCCCCATCCCTGGGCTCTGATTCATGTTCGGAGCCCGAAGAGAATTTACTAGGTGTGTCCAGCTTTGCTGAGGAAGAGTGTCCAGAACCACAACCCTCAGGTTGTTTCGAACACATCCTACAGAGGAGGCTGCGTTTCAGCTCCACAACACTCACCATCAGAATCAATCCGCTGGCCAGTTCATTTCGTACTCAGGAAGCAATGCCTGGCCATAATTTGACTTCACGTGGAGATTTATCTAGAAGGGCTCAATGTGCTAATTGGCAAGTGAGAGTAATCTGGCCTGCTCCGCAGCTATAATTCTTGTTGTAAAGCACAAAACTTGCATTTCAGTTTATCCATCAATCTCCTGAGTTCAGGTAACAGACAGAGCAAGCCCAGGTAAAGTATTTTCTGGACCCGCAGGCACTGGAATGCAGTGGTCACACCGAGGTCCTGGTGGCGGACAGTCAGTGCTCACCAGGCCTATGTGCACCTTTTATCTCCCAGCCCCCGCAGTTGGGCTGGGGCCAGGTCACAGGTCTCGCCCGCTGGAACATGAGTAGACATGATGTACCGCAGCCAGACAAAGGCAGTTAAGCGTGAATGCGAGTCCCCATGCTCCTTCCCCTCACTGCACGGCTAGAAGCAAAGAACTCCAAAGCAGGGTTTTAAATGCAAGCAGCCGGCTTTGCTAGTCACCAGGGGAGGAGAGCTGCCAAGAGGTCCTGACCTGCGGTGGACTGTGACCTGAGTGTGAAATAAGCCTTAGCCATGTTCGGTGATGGGGACTCTCCTGGAGTCCTGCCCTGGACACCAGGAGTAACCATCTCCACAGTCCCCTCTCCCACAAAGTGCGGTGCCCGAGCTTAGGTGGTCCTCTGCAGCACACCTTGAGCTTTACATTTCCTGTTTGTGCAGGAAGAGACATCACCCAAAGTCCCAGCCCCACTCCGCTGGGAGACATTTTTTTTTTTTTTGGTATACAAATGACTACCCACAAGTGGGCCTGCTCTTCCTCACTGGCAAAACCAGGGGAAAAGACAATTCCTGGAGGAGCTATTTCTTCCCTTGTATCTAAACTGTCCAGGATTTAGACACAAGGGGAAAAGACAATTCCTGGAGGAGCTATTTCTTCCCATGTCTAAACTGTCCAGCATGGGGCCTAGCACACAGTAGGTGTTCAGTAAAGACTGGCCATCATGGCTATGAAGATGTGTCCAGCTATCTCAGCAGGGCCTGAAGAGGCAGTTTCCTTTTGCACGAGGTTATAGGTCATCAGGCGTTTATAAAGAAAATGTTTATTTTCATCACAAGAAGCACACGAACTATATACAGTACACACCAACAGAAGTAAAAAAAAGTGCATTATGCATCTTCTACTGCAAATTCACAGTACAAAAGATACTGCCTTTTAAATATATACTATAAAAAAAAAAAACACAAGAAAAACCCCCAATATGATTAAAAAAAATAACTGATATCATTACACAACACACTGGAACCCACTGGCAGCTTTTGAGAACCAAAGGGCAGCCCATCCTGTGGAGCTCCTGATTCC